GGGTTCGATACCAAAGACGTTAACAGATGGCACTTGTTGTCACCCTGTCAGGCGCTCTACATTAAACATTAAGGGACTAAAGCAAGGATTGGTCAGCTCAGTTTACTATGTCTGAATGGGGTATTCATGTTAAACTTGCTCCATGGCACTATAAATCGGCATCAGTCCGGATTAGTACAAGCAGCCACACACTCACATACACACACACGTACATGTGCGATAAATCTTGGACGCGACGTTAAACCCAATTTCACCTTCCATGAGGCCCCGTGATAACACTGAAATAAACCGAACTCTCACACGTGACATCAGTTTGCAAAAAAAAAGGGGGGGGGGGGCTGGGGCGGAATTCTTGGCGGTTTGCTTTCACAAGCTGAAGGGGCGGAAATGGGTATTCCACTGGCAACGTCACCCTCAAACAATACCATGACGTAACACCACATTTCACCAGCTGAAGTAACGAAAATGTTTTCCATTTATATTTGTGTACTTAACAATATTCTCTTGCATTACATTCTGTTTGTCTGTTTGTTGTTTAACGCCGCACTCAGCAATATTCCAGCTATATGACGGCGGTCTGTAAATAATCAAGTTTGGACCAGACAATCCAGTGATTGATATCATGAACATCGATCCACGCAATTGGGATACGATGACTGCATTAACCAAGTCGGTCAATCTGGCCACCTGATCCCGTCAGTCGCCTCTTATGATTATGGGTGCGAATCCCGGTTCGCCCTGATTATGTTTCTGGGTTTGTCAGCACCATACCCGTGCTCGTGGGTTTCACCGTTGTGGTAAACGTCTGAGACCTGCAACACTTCGGGCTTTCCTCCCACATTAAGCTGACACGCCGTGATATAACTTGAATAATGTTAAAAGCGGCCTTAAACCAAACTCACTAATTCACTCACTCGAACAAGACGGGCGAATGGTTCTGGCAGAGACCGAGTAACGGAAGCACAACACACATTACAGCTAAGGGACGCAACTCTGTACAACAGATTCGTGTGTCACGTTTTCAGCAGTATTTTGTGGAAAACTCTCGTTATGCTAACATTTGGCAGGAGCAATTAAAAGATTATCCCTTACTGGAGTCCCATGCTTTATGGTTCAATCCAACGAGCTCTATTAGAATATGTGACTGCTTCGGGCAACGATGAGACAATTTGATAAAAAAAAATATCTCTGATAGAACATTGAATAATCAACATTAAAAGTATTGCTTTCAAATAACAATTCTTTTGTTTGATCTGGTTTTTTTATTAAATGGGCATAACGGGTTTTTTTCCGAAACGAACTGGTGTTTGCTTGATGTTTTAATCCATATCGTTAAGCAAATGATATGAGATACACACACGCATCATATATTTATCGCAAAGGTTGCGTGCACATAACGTCTCAAGGATCATGGACGTCGCAATTTCACAGTACAGAGTTTATGTATTGCTCAGCGCAAAAAACAGGAAACAAAAAACACCCCAAAAGGTTTTCATTCTGGTTTTAAATTTGTTTTTTACCAAACACAATTTTTGCAAGGCGTACAGAGTTACGGTGTCGGTCTATTACTTTGTTCAGACAATTTGTTATGGTTGTAATCAATAACAAAATAGAATTTTCCTCAACACTCTTTACAGGGTTAAAAGTGTGGCTGGGCTTTGGGCCCTCAGACACATTTGCGCTCCTTTTGTTCAATAAAAAACGACGAATGTGTTTCATGAGTGATATATTCAATAAACATAGTCTTTCTCTGATAGTTGTTTAGATAAATGATGAATTCGTTTTTGCAATAGGTTAAATGTCTTGATCAGCTATGACCAGCAAATCCGGATTTAATCAGCAGACATCCGCTGCCGGTAAGCCTAGGGTAAGGGATCATCGACCCCCATCTCTCTCCCCCATCTCTGCTTATTCCTTCATCAGTCACCCAGACAACGTTCGATTCTCATGATGTATACTTGGAAACCTCCAAATAGTATCATGCTTTATGCAATAATTAAAAATCCCTCCCTCAACCCCAACCCCCTAAGGGAAATGGGAATGTCAGGATGGAATAGATTTCCAAGAACCTATGCTTGTTGTAAGATGCGACGCAATACATAGGGTGGTCGGGCTCGGTGATTTGGTTGATAGCGTGTCGCCCATAGCCCGGCTGCCTCGATCGTTGTTCGCAACATCAATCACTGAATTGTTTGGTCCAAACTCGATTATTTACAAGCCGTTTGGAATATTGCTTGGTGCGGCATTATACAACAAACAAATAATGAGTGACTTACCAAGTACAACCAATTGAGTAATAACATGTCAACCCATAAAGATCTTGGTTAGAATAGGTCTTCAGCAACCAATGTTTGTCGTTAAAGGCGACTATGCTTGTCGTAAGAGGCGACTAACGGGATCGGGTGGTCAGGCTCGCTGACATTGTTGATGTATGTCATCGTATCCCAATTACGTGGATCGATGCTCATGATGTCAATCAATGGATTGTCTGGTCCAGACTCGATTATTTACAGACCGCCGTCATATAGCTGGAATATTGCTGAGTGTGTCGTTAAACAAGAAAGCAAACAAGCAAACCTCTAAACAGCAAATGCATCGAAATTATCTTACAATTCCAACGAAATGTAAAAAAAACATGTTATAGATCTAAAATAAAACGTAATGTTATTTTCAAGGTTTGTTACCAACTTCCACTGTGTGCTGCAAAGTCTGTAAAATCCCGCGTCACTGTTTATTTCATGTAATATTTTAAGTTTTATCTATGAACCCCCGTAGAGACCATAATATTGTATTCAACGACATATCTTTCAAACCCTATAAGTAACTTTGTGAAGTAAATTTACCTGACGCCAAAGGGACGGGTTCATCCCTGATATTTAAAGCCCGCTATTGGTGTCTCCCGCAGTGAGTGAGTGAGTGATGTTTAATGCTTATTTGAATGGTATTCCAGTATTATCACGGCGTGTCATCTTAATATGGGAGGACAGCCCAAAGTGAGACAGGTCTCAGACGTTTACCACTACGTACATCACGATGCCACGTGTACGACAAAGTATATAACAACTATACTTATGACATTTCAAAATGAAGTGCCCAACTTCTGCTATAGGTATAAGATAAATAATATCATAACTATACTTGACACCTGGGGTACTAGAGGCCTAACCGACCTTCACTTGATATGAACACCACGCGATCGTACGATGTAAATGTTAATCTGCATTGTCATTTCACATACTTACCCTGCCATCCGAGATTGTTGATGCTCTTGACTCGCAAGAATTAATGACCCTGAGTAAACACTATTTTCAATTGTAGGTGACCTGCCAAGCGCCAGTATGTTTATTTTCTTAGAGAAAGTAGTTTATTGGACGATCGCTTTTTAATGGCTGTATCATCTTCAAGCATCAGAATCGTTATACCTGTGATGAAGTGTTGTCATCTGGATCTCTATCGAAACATCTTCTGACTATCGTTAGTTCGGACGGTACTATTCCCAGTATATGCCAGCCCTGCGTCCTCAAATAGAATAAATTTAAATCAGTGATAGTTATAGATCGATAATAAACAATCCTGTTCTGAACATATTACCTCTAAAAAAAGACCCGTGAAGATCCGGGGTATAAGACATCTTCAAAAACCCTTGCTTGCGGTGAGAGACGACTATGCTTGTCATAAGAGGCGACTAACGGGATCGGGTGGTCAGGCTCGCTGACTTGGTTGATGCATGTCATCGTATCCTAAATGCGTGGCTCGATGCTCATGATATCAATCACTGTAAACACTATTTTCAATTGTCGATGACCCGCGAAGCGTCAGTATGTTTATTTTCTTACAGAAAGAGTTTATTGGACGATCGCTTTTGAATTGCTGTATCGGTATATGCTGTTCCCCGAGACCAAGACATTCCGCGAAGCGATCTTAGCACTGTGACTGTCTTACAGACTTAACGCTAATTTTGTTTTGTGCATGTGGGCCCTGAAGATAGACGGCTTTACATTGACATTTACAAACAGTATATACATTATGATTTACTTTTGATTTTTTAATGACCGTCTACGTGGTGTAGTGGAAGGGCGTCTGCCCAAAGAGCGGAAGATCGTAAGCCAAAGACTTATATGAGGCATACTTTACATGAGGATGACAGTGTGCATGGCTATCACGGCCTCTAACGGTACATATGTACTTACGAAATAAACGACGAGTGTGAGTTGGCAGCCCCCCATGGTTTATTCTCCATGCATTCTTTTATCGTACGATAAACAACGACCACGACAAATGGTTTCTTGTATGAGATATCAACATTATGTACAGCCTCTTTAAGGATGATGATGAAATGTACAAACTTTACAAATGTATTTACCCCTATTCTAATATAGTTTTTTCACGATCATTTGTTTTCTAACTTTGAACTGAAGTATATATACACCGATCCGATTTTTTACAGTAGTTACGGTATACGGTTATATAACTATCTAACCGACTTCTCAGACTCCTCTGTGACCAGGTCTGCACATCAGTAATCATCACTGTTCCTGCTGTGTTGGGGGGCAGTTCAAACTTTCCATGAAGGATAAAAAAAACCTAATGAAATGAGATATACTTTACATACCCCAAATACGTACGATTTAGAATTATGAACATTTACATTTTCAAGAAATTCTTTTGTCAAGCGAATCCTACTTAGCAATGATTTATATAGCTGGTGGGACGGTTATGCTTTCGATTATGTCAAGTTGAAAACTTTTGCAATCAACTCGTTTATCCACCTACAATGGAAATGACGTCATTTTCAACGTAAAATTAGAGATGTTATTGATAGCTTGAACTGTAAACCCCTGAAATCTTAACTCAAGTGTTAAGTCCACACAAACCCAAGTAAGATGTCTTTGAACTTTTGAACGGCTCCCTTATCAAGAATAGTCTGTTTTATCAGACTGGTTTCATACCACCGGTGCTATGACCCAGCTATAAGTAGCTAGAGGTTACCAGTGCCACCGATCTGCTTGTATAAGAAAGACAAAACTCAGTCTGTACACTGGGCACATCATCTCTGTGGCGAGGAACTGACTGATTAAGGTAACTTCTTGCATTGCAATAATTACAAATACTGAAATATGCATAAATTGAAAGTATAAATTGTAGTATGTTAAGTTCTTCAACAGGAGTTCTTGAAAAGAATTTTAGAATTTATGTGAGACATGTATCCTGAAAGGAAATGCCAACTGCATCATAATTTACGTGCAGATACTATTTTACTGTTTTATGAATTCAATATCTGGTACCAATGTTTTGCGATGTTTTCGAGGTAGAGAATTCAAGTCGAATGTTTGCACTACAGTTGATAAATCGTCAACTAGAAACCTATCAGCGAACAGTAACCTGAATGAGTGAGTGAGTATGGTTTTACGCCGCTTTTAGCAATATTCCAGCAATATCACACCAGAAATGTCCATGTCGGGAATCAAACCCGGGTCTTCCGCGTGACGAGCGAACGCTTTAACCACTAGGCTACCCGACCGCCCCAGTAACCTGAATGAAAGTGAATACGAGAGAAATATTTTTATCCATTTGGCAATATTCCATCATTATCACGCTGGAGGCATCAGAAGTAGGCTTTTTTTTCATTGTGTCCATGTGAGATCGTTCCTAGGGCTTTTCTTAACCTACACACCTCTATACAAATATAAGCTCGCTCCTGCGGATATGCAGTTAATGTCTGAGACCTTCCTATAAGCGACGTTAAACCAAACTCACTCACTCACTGAATACAAACACATTATCATTAGAGTACTTCATATACTGGAATAAACTGAAAATTGGATTTGACCTCAAAATTACAAAGGATATCAAAACGTTACTCGGCTGAAAACATTCGCCGAAACGACCCGTGAAGACCTGGCGTAGAATAAGAGGCGACTAACGGGAACGGGTGGTCAGGCTCGCTGACTTGGTTGGTGCATGTCATCGCATCCTACGTGTATCTTCGTTTGCCAGGCAGTTTATACAGCGTTATACTTTTCAACCAAACTCGCTCACTTTATCCCTGAATACAAACTTTATTCAGCATACACAGCATACACCGCGTAAATACGGACGGTACCGTCTCCAGTGCGCCGTCCCGATTAACGGCTTTATGGGTAAACGAATCATTGTTAGGGAGAACTGCACCTTTGGATATTTCTAGACGTCCTCTGACACTAACACCCAGAGTACGGGGTCTCCGGACTAACGAGGTTTCAGTGTATTAGTTATCAATGATGGTGTTGCGGGTAGGTAATAAAAACACATTGTTTCTGTTTATGTGTAATTCGGATTAACGCCACATGCTTTGCGGAAACTGGATTTCAAATACAGTGCAGGTTTTTCTTTCGTTGGAACAAGACACACTTTACCTTTCGTTGTAGAACACTATTTGTGGACCGCATAAATGTAAACTGGATACTTTCCTATTTTCGTGGTCATTATGTATGGCGCATAGTTAATTGATTATCTGGAGTGAGTGAGTATGGTTTTACGCCGTTTTTAGCAATATTCCAGAAATGGACTTCAAACATTGTACCCATGTCGGGGATCGAACTCGGCTCTTCGGCGGGACGAGCGAACGCTTTAACCACTAGGCTACACGACCGCCCCTAATTGATTATCATAAAGAGAATCCCGTTTAGTTCCCCATCTATTTCACAAGAGAGGCGGGGTGGTGGGGCAGTCTAGTGGTTAAAGCGTTCGCTCGTCACGCCGAAGACCCGGGTTCGATCCCACTCATTGGTACAATGTGTGAAGCCCATACCTGGTGTCCCCCGTTGTGATATTGCTGGAATAATGCAAAAACGGCGTAAAACCATATTCACTCGCCCACAAGAGTCACGTTTAGTTCCCTATTATTTATATATGTGGAGTTAGTACAGAGGGTAGACACTTTATCGTCGTCTCCCACTGTGTAACAGATGGATATGCATGTATGCTACATATGTTGGTGGTTTGTGTAGAGCCGCACTCAACAATTTTCCAGATGTATCAAGGCGGTTTGACTTTACAAACCATTAATTGCTGTTGTGAGCAACGATGCTCGCCATCGGGATACGATTACCTAAATCGCCATTTAGTTGCCTCTGAGGCCAGCATAGGTTACTGGGGACTAATTCTGACTAGGCATCAACACTGGGTATATGCATTCATAATATAACTGATTTCACATAAAAGCTTCAACCTTACAACTCCAACAAAAATAATTTTCTGAGGGCATCGCCTGTACTAAAAATACCTCTTTTACAGACAGAAAGATGAACAGCGCACAGGATCCGGTCGTCGGCATCCCGAAGACAAACATTTACAAGTTCTTCATGCGCTCCCGTTCAGTTTTCGAAGACAAGGCAAGCGACGAGAAGAACAGCCCAGAGGATGAGGATGAAGAAACTCAGTGTGGCATCGGCTCCTGTAAACCCCAGGCTTGTCGGCCTTGTGGGAACCTCATAGCATTCACGTGTACCTACAGTTTCGTAGGCATCCTTCTGCAGACGCTCACGACATTTCTGTCGTCACAGATAACGACTCTGGAGAAACAATTCAACTTCAGCAGCACCATCAGCGGGATGCTCCTCAGCAGTAACGACATCGGTTACCTCACTGCAGTCCTATTTTTCAGCCATTTTGGCAAACATGGCCACATACCAAGGGTCCTTGGCGCAACGGGGATGTTGTTTGGCTTTGCCGGAATGTTTACAAGCTTGGCAAATTTCATCCATCCCGTCCATCTTCCGGAAGAGGTACTGAATGCGACCAATGATTACGAGACCCAGTTTGTGTGTAGGGAGAGTAATATGACAATTATCAGTTCAGCTGCTCATGAACAGGCTACGTACGACTCGGGCCGATCGACCATAGCGTTGTGGGTTATTGGGATTGGTATGGCATTGCAAGGTGTTGCCAAAACCACTCGCATCCCTCTAGCTAGTTTCTACCTTGATAACAACGTGGTGAACAGGGCACATACCTCTATTTATATAGGTAAACGTAGCAACATTTTGAAGCTAATGATCATGATTATTAAGAGACAATATTTATTTATTTCATACAATATGTCGTTTCTTTCTGGAATCGGGTGTTTTATAAAGTGAGACGCCGTTAATCCGGACGATTATTTGGCTCTTAAGTCGTCCAGATATAAATGTGACCTCATGAATCGTGGTTACGGAGGAATGTCACCTGTTAGGGTTCCAGTATTAAACAAGGTGGAGTTTCTGAATTAATGGGGTCCTGACTAACGAGGTTTCATTTTATACAACTATACTCACCCACGTAATATCGGAGGTTATAGTTAATGTAAAATTAATATCCAAGCTTCCTCTAAGTAAGTCAAAATGTGTAGTGACGTGATGAATATTACAGAAGTGGCAATATTGATATTATGATATTCACATGGAACTGTAAGAAATAAATACACTATTATAAAAACGACGATAGCTTAATGGATTATCACAATACCCTGTTTGGGTAATAAGCAAATGATAATCCTCTTTACGGTTTCAGGAGCGCTGATGACATCCATTTTGTTCGGGCCTTCTATTGCCCTCGTGGTTGGGAGTGCCCTGGCCAAGATTCCAGTTGATCTTCAAGGTATTTACCAACGTCTTCTAGATAAATATATGCATCATTGTTGAAATTGCTACACGTCAAACAAACGTCACATGAAATCATGTTTATCAGCATCGGGGTAGAAAAAGTGAGCTGCTCTATTATATAATTACTTTAAATGCCAAATTCGCTTCCGGTTCCGCATGCTCAGAAATATTTTCCATTGTACGTTCTTAGGTTTCATATTGTACACTTGTGAATTTAAATTGGAGTGGTTGAAAAATCGAAATCGAAAATAAGGTTTTAAAAAGTATCGAAAACACGAATTCGTTTTCTGTCCTTTTTCGGTTCTTTTTTCAGGATTACCTATATTTCTCATACCAATGAAGGTCCGGGTTGAAATAGGTCTTCAGCAACCCATGCTTGCCGTAAAAGGTGACTATGCTTGTCGCAAGAGGCAACTAACGGGATCGGTTGGTCAGGCTCGCTGACTTGGTTGATGCATGTCATCGTTGCGCAGATCCCAAATTGCGTAGACCGATGCTCATTATGTCTATCACTGGATTGTCTGGTCCAGACATTATTTACAGACCGCCGTCTTATAGCAGGAATATTGCTGAGTGTGACGTTAAACAACAAACAAACAAACCTATATTTCTCATTACAGACACATACCTGACGCCAAGTGACCCTCGCTGGATGGGTGCGTGGTGGCTGGGCTTCATTATCTTCGGGGGAATTGGGCTGCTTGTGTCTATTCCTGTTTTCTTTTTCCCACGGAGAATCGCAGGGGCCCCTAAATACGAGATTCCAGATACGGAAACAGCTCTTGGAAAGATCAAAGGTATATTTAGAAAAGGGATTAGGCTCAACAAATTGGCAATCACAGCAAAGTTAATTCAAGTCCCGCAAACACCATTTTGTTAGCCTGCTACCCTACAATGTATAATGTATATCAGTCTATCAGATGATAGCCCTAATTACACAGAGACAGTGCCCCAGTTTAATACGGTGTAACTACTATGTCTAGACTGAAAATAGAATAATTAATGAGTAATTACGTTGAGAGAAGTCTTTCTGTAAAGGATAATATTTTCCTTCCCTTTTTCGTAATTCACGTTAAGTAGTGTTCTGTATTGATACTGACAACAAGGGATCTCTTAGTTATGACATAAAAGCGTTTCATTTTGGGTGATATTAGTGAGGTTCGTTTACGCCACTTTTACCCATATTGCGATTATATCACGGCATATCAGCTTGGGATGGAGAGAAAGCCAGAAGTGATGCAGGTGTTGGGGACCCGTTCCACAAAGCGTTCGTAGATCCACGACTGTCGTAAGTCTGTTAAAGTATGGGACGATCACCATTGCACTACGATCGCTTTGTGAAACGGGACCCTGGCCTGAGGGTGGTCAGACTCGCTGACTTGCTTGATGCATGTCATCGTATCCCAATTGCGTAGATCGATGCTTATGATGTCAATCACTGTATTGTCTGGTTCAGATTTGATTATTTAAAGACCACCGTCATAGAGCTGGAATATTGCTGAGTGCGGCAATATACAAAAAAAGAAAGAAATATTTTTTAGCGTGTTTCCGTGTTCTAGATATGCCTCTGTCTGTGCTGCGAGCTCTGTCCAGGCCAGTGTACACAATCTTCATCGTCAACAGCTGTCTGTACGGCTTCGCCGTCAGCGGCCTCATCTCGTTTGGACCGAAGTACATAGAGTACCAGTTCAATATACCGGCATGGAAGACCAGTCTTATTCTAGGTTGGTATTTAGGTTGGACCGAAGTACATAGCGTACCAGTTCAATATACCGGCATGGAAGACCAGTCTTATTCTAGGTTGGTATTTAGGTTGGACCGAAGTACATAGAGTACCAGTTCAATATACCGGCATGGAAGACCAGTCTTCTAGGTTGGTATTTAAGTAAAGGTGCTTAATATGAAGTTCAATAGAAATAAAATTATTCTGAAATTATGCATCTTTCAAAACATATTCATGAAACATTTCCTCGACTTTAAGGACGTGATTCACAGTTAATGTCGTTTACATGATAATGCACGGCACACAATTTGAATGTTTGTGTGTTTGTTGGTAGCATGATACTCACATACGTGATTTTATAATGTCAACAGCAAACAGTGATTGTTTAGTTATTAGCTGCTCATACAACACTTTGTTTACATAACTTGTTAGTCCTGCACCATGACTTTAATTTATATTTTTAGGTACATTGTTTCACTAAAAGCCTAGATAACGCTAGATTAAACTAACCAAGTCTAGTTTGCTTGATTGAAAACAGAAAAAGAGGAAATATTTTAAAAGGCATGTTTTCATTTACTAAGTGTTCGTCTCTGTGTGTATGCACTGTGTGTATACGTTCAAGAACATGTAAATCGTCGCTTATATCAAGAAGCTAAGGGAATTATGATTGCAGGTATATCTCACCTGGTAACGTCAGCGGCGGGGACGTTCATAGGCGGTGTCCTCACCGGCCGACTCAACCTCTCTCGGCAGGGATGTCTAAAACTGATGATGGTGGTGCATGCAGTATCGTTTGGTCTCAACTGTTGTGGCTTCATACTTGGCTGTGACAATACGCCCATAGAAGGAGTCGATTTCTTGTGAGTTTAATATCCACTGCAAAAAAATGTTATTACTAAAAAAGAATCGAAACCCAGTCACGTGTCATTTCACTTTGCGCAAAGTTTAGTGGTGTGCTGTATTCCTGTAGCCGAGTGTTCGAATCCCAGATTCGCCTGGTATTTTTTTTTTATATCATAACTCTGCTAGTGGATTCCATCAACTGACAATCTGAGACACTCCTCACTTTTCCCCAACGTCAAGCTGACACGCAGTGATGTAACAGAAACAGTGTTCAAACGGCGTTAAAAAGCATTTGCTCACTGAATCACTAATAAGTGAGTTGGGTTTTACGCTAATTTGACATTGTTCATGTAAATTATAGACGAGTGACAAAGTTACTTTCTCACAACAGCCGCAATGACAACGAAACTGGCCGGGCATGCTTCTGTAGTGGGACGCCATTTCTGCCCGTATGTGGAGCTGATCACGTGACCTACTCTAACCCCTGTCAAGCAGGATGCTGGAATCATACGGGTGACGTAGGTCAAGGACTTTATGTTGTTCTCACTTTGCTTCCCTATATGTAACAGGTTATATTCATTTCAGTACTTTTTGTAACACCTTTTATCGATATATTTATTTCAAATTTCGTACCCGATTTTAAGTAAAATATTATTTTAAAAACTGCGACTGGAAATAATGTCGAAATAACTGCTCATATATCATAACTGCTCAGTAGTTCATATTTGATGACCTACACATGTGAACTTGGTGGCCGTACGCTTGTTAGTTGGGTGGCAATAAACATGAGGTGGTGAGGTGAAATGGGGTTTAACGTCGCGTCCAAGATTATTGCACTTATATAGCAACGTGCATGCACGTGTGTGTGTGGCTGCTTGTACTAATCCGGACTGAAGCCGATTTATAGTGCTAGCACACTGAGATACCATGCCGCAGTTTAACATGAATACCCCACTCAGACACAGTATACTGACTCCGAGTCGACCAGTCCTTGTTTTAGCCCTTTAATGCCGAGCGCCACGGGGTAACAACAAGTACCATCTTTTAACGTATTTTGGTATAACGCGGCCGGGGATCGAACCCCGGACCTTCCGCTCTCCGGGCGGACGCTCTACCACTAGGCCGCGGAGGCGGTCGCAATAAACATGTAACTTTGGTGGCAATACACTTTGTAGGTCAAATCCCGTAGGTTGTCCTCATCAGTTTCCCAGCATCCCAGGCATGTCACGATAGACGAGTGAATGGGAATTTGGTGACACTACTGTGAACGACGACTAGGATACTTTTTCATGTTTTCGACATCTACTTCCCATATGATAAAACTGGAATATTACTGACTGCGGCATAAACATCATTCAGGCATTCACTGGAAAGACAAAATCATTCATCATCTCTCCCAGTTTCCCAGTCACAACAGTGAAAGCATGTTTGCTTGTGTCAACGCTACCGCGAATAGCCGTAACGCTAACGTATATACCTGATGCAGCCTTATAAGATGTATTTACTCAAACATTCGGGCACGCCGCAATTTGCAATACAGAGTTGCGTCACTTTGACGTGTAAAACGTCTGACCTGCTGATCGCGTACCTTCCTCATTGTGACAAAACTGAAATAATATTCAAAGTGGCGTTAAACCCACCTCACTCACACATTGCCCCTGCCCCGGGGACGATCCGGGTTAGAATTGGTTTTCAGCAACCTATGTTTGTCGTAAGAGGCGACAAACGGGATTCGTTGAGAAGGCACACTGACTTGGTTGATGCAAGTCACCGTATCTCAGCTCCGTAGATCGATGCTGATGATGTCAATCGGGTTAGAATTAGTTTTCAGCAACCGATGTTTGTAGAGGCGACAAACGAGATTCGATGGTCAGGCACACTGACTTGGTTGATGCAAGTCACCGTATCTCATTTGCGTAGATCGATGCCCATGACGTCAATCCCTGTATTGTCTGATCCAGATCGATTATTAACCTATAGCTGAGTTTGGCATTAAACAACAAATAAACAAAACATGTCCTTGCAACGTTGTGGTCCCAATGTGTTTGATAGATTGCTCACTCACCGCAGACCATGGGTGAGAGCCGCCATGTTGCCGGTCACTCTGTCTCAAGTGTCTCACTCACTCACTTACAACATTGGCAGGTATACGGTAGCTGCAGTCGTGTCGAAGGGATGACTGCGACACCAGGTATTTGCGACAACGGCTGTAACAACCTCATCCCCTACATTGTGACGTCGGTGTTGATGACCATGGTCGCGACAGTGGCAATAATACCACACTACATGGTGTACTTGAGGTAACCCGTTTAAAAGTTTCGAAATAAAACTATTTAAGTTTAAGAGAGTTTTAATCTGCGCCAAACACTGGACAGAACCTATTGAATTCATTCTAAAAATAAGAATCTCTTAAAACTGAAATTAAAAATATTAGATTATTGTCTGAGGATTCTTCAATTTTCTTCGTTTTCGTAACATAATAACGCCACTATCAGTGATTTACTATGACTTCGACTTCTTTCCTGTCGATTGTGATGAAGATGGAATATTGTTGCCTTCAGCGTTAAGCATCATTTACTATATCATATATGTATTCAAGTTCTTTCAAAACTACTCACAAGCGGTCCAGAATTCTAAAAAAGGCATCCCCAGCGAGGTTACCTAGCTTTGGTTACTGGTAGCCTATAGCCCGTGTTTTAAACTGTATACATGATATTGTTATGCACAATATGTTTCATAAATTGTTTTTAAATATAGTATGCTCAAAAATGTCTCGTAAATTGTTTTTAAATATAACTCTGTATAAATGAACAAACTGGGTACGTATCAATTTGGTCTCGTCGTTATATGGCTAAAATGATGCCGATGCCACGTTAACCTTTAACTCACTCACTCACTCACTCACTCACTCACTCACTCACTCACTCACTCACTCACTCACTCACTCACTCACTCACTCACTCACTCACTCACTCACTCACTCACTCACTCACTCACTCACTCACTCACTCACTCACTCACTCACTCACTCACTCACTCACTCACTCACTCACTCACTCACTCACTCACTCACTCACTCACTCACTCACTCACTCACTCACTCACTCACTCACTCACTCACTCACTCACTCACTCACTCACTCACTCACTCACTCACTCACTCACTCACTCACTCACTCACTCACTCACTCACTCACTCACTCACTCACTCACTCACTCACTCACTCACTCACTCACTCACTCACTCACTCACTCACTCACTCACTCACTCACTCACTCACTCACTCCAATAGGCCCTTGGTTTGCCTGTCCTGGACTCGATTAACAGCAGGCTGACTTACTGTAGCTGAAATACGTACTGTATTTACTGTGGCATACTTTTACAGTAACTTGTTTCTCCCCGCGCTGTAGTGATGTAATAATTCTGACGGAAGTGTGTCACCCCTGCCCAACATACAGGCTTAACGCCACCGCAATCCCTCTCATATCTGTATACTATATTGTTGAAGTATGATCTACACTATCACGTTGTTTTGCCATCACTTGTGACATACATTATTCAAGAATTCAAACACCTTAGCCTTGTTACTGTTGTCCTGTGACTATGTACTTACCAGTGTATAAGACATAGCTGCCTGAAACTGACCGTTAATTCAGTGTGGATGGGTGATTTTGGTTTGCTCTCGTTAATGTCTGTTTACCTGGATTACATTTAACAAATGAGTACCTTTATCAGTTTCCTCAACGAGTCTCAGTACAACACACCCATGATAATCACACACAAGAGCAGTGTATTACAAAACTAACAACTAGTATCCGAAATGATTCAAATGAACATATTTTACAGAAAAAACAGATGTTAGATTATAGTTATAAAATATAATAAAAAGGAGCCCAGAGACTTTCTTCATTTTCCTGACACAGCAGTGATCTGGATTTGTCAAGCATTATAGACTTGCATGGGCTGTATTGGATATATTTGTTTCAGGATCTGCATGACAGACTATGTATAACACAAACTCTACAATAATTAGAACTGATTTTCACATAGCGAGAATGGAAGGCTCTCTGACGTGGTTGATGCATGTCATTGATCCCAATTGCTGGGTCGATGCTTATGATATCACTGGATTGTCTGGTCCAGACTCGATTATTTACAGACCACCGTCATATGGCTGAGTGGAATATTGCTGAGTGCGGCGTTAAACAACAAACCAACCAACCATAGGAATTGCTTTCATTCTGAATATGTGTACGCGGAGAGGCATTTAACAGCCAACTGTAATATCGTTATATGCCTCTCCCTGTACACATATGCAGCATGAAAGCAAAAATTAGCGACATACCAGGCTGCAGTATGAACCTTCATGTAGTATGTAAAACTGCTTGAACATCGGAGCTTACCACTCTCGCCATGTGTCAGTTCTTATGTTACCCGTGAAGATACGGGTTAGAATAGGTCTTAAGGTGACTATGCTTGTCGTAAAAGGCGACTAACAAGATCGGGTGGTCAGGCTCGCTGACTTGGTAGATGCATGTCATCAATCCCAATTGCGTGGATCGATGCTCATGATATTAATCACTGGCTTTTCTGTCCAGACTCGATTATTTACAGACCGCCGTCATATAGCAGGAATATTGCTGAGTGCGGCGTTTAACAACAAACCAACCAATCGTTTTGTCCTCCTAATGGCTCGAGCGAATATATCAGATCACGGACATGCATTCCAAAAGCAGTGTATGCCAAAAGTTAGTTCAAGATTAATATTGTCTTCGTGATCAATTATTTTGCATATATTCAGCAAAGGAAGCTCTATTGTGTTCCAAGAAATGTGAAGGCAGTTTGTCAGTGTGAACACCAGTTCGAGAATAGTCTCGTCATGAAAAAGCTTTTGTGGTCATGTGATCGTCCTCTCGTCCAATAGCAAAACCGCATAAGGTGTGAACGTCACATTAAACTTTTATGTACTCTGCTTTCTTTCTTCCAGGAGCGTTGAAGAACGAGACAAGGCTCTGGCGATTGGTATTACCAACTTTCTCTCAACATTACTTGGTATGTGTAATAATGAGTTATCTGAAAATAAAAATGTATTTATCAGGAAATGTAAAAGTGCTAAAATTATTTTTGTCTTCAATTTTTTTTTAAATTCTTTAGAGATTCGACCTGATTCCGTTTTAGCACCATAAACATCAAACAAAGAAACTTGATTCTTGGATTGCCAGCACCATACCCTTGCTTGTGGGTAGTCAGTCATAAACGTATGACACGCCATGATTTAACTGAAATACTATTCACAGCGACGTTAAATCCAACTCGAATACTAAGAAGAATATACACGAAATCAATTCTTTAATCTTATCAGAAACAAAAGTAATCTTATCAGAAACAAAAGCAACTTAATCACTTGAACCTGCATTCCTGGTGAATTTAGAAAAATGAAAACATAATCTTATCTTCAAGGTTGGTTACCAGCCCCAATTGTGTACGGCAAGGTCATTGACAGCGCCTGTAAAATCCTGCGTGGCGGTTCATCTCATGGCAACGGCGCCTGCTCGCTGTATGACATTGTCGATCTCAGGTACAAGGTGTTTGGTCTAGAAGTGTCAATCAAAGTCGTAGCCTTCATTCTGCTGGTCATATCCCTCATTGTGTGTCGCTGGGAGGACAGGAAGAACGAGAGCAAGGGTCAAGCACACAATAATGTCGTCCTCACAAAAAAGATATCTCAACATGACGGAGAAAAGTCCATTGGAAACAGCACCAGTGGAACATCAGGGAAAAACGATAAACATTAGAAAAACCTTTGTTGCTAATGTTGTTAAGCAATGGGGTGGACACTTACGATGAACATGTACGATGATGTGTAATGCTTTAGTTGAATTTGATATGGATAAATTGAAAAATTAAAAAAAGAAATGTTACGACATTGAACTCCTTGTTTCCTGGTTAGGTAGCTTACAGTGGTTAATGCGTTATCTCGTCACACCAAGGCCCGTGTTCGATCCATACACTCTTACAGATTATGTTTATGGTAATGTAAAACTACGTTTTCATTCAACATTGTCATCTCACTACGTAGTGTCGATGTTCTTTATGCAATAATATTAGTGTTATTGTTTACAGACCGCCTTCGTGGTCTAATGGTAGAGCGTCCGCCCGGAGAGCGGAAGGGTTCGATCCCCAGCCGCGTCATTCTGGCGCTCGGCATTAAGTGGCTAAAACAAGGACTGGTCGGCTTTTAATTTTAACATTAAAATTTTAAAAAACTAATGAGATCATGTTAAAATAGGGTTGAAAAGGCAGGTAACGTTAGTCATAGTTATGTATGCACAATCTACCCTTGAACGTGTGAGACAGAGGGTATTTGGCATTACATGTTCATTTACGAGTGCCACCATAAGATAATGTAAAGGTGTTTCATTTCTTTCTATTTTATTTGGGATTTGTCACAGTGAAGACACACACAACGTGTTTTCTGTCTGATCCATGAATATACAAATACACACCGAACACTTAGGACACATGTATGCACGGAATAAGCCTCCAGGATGCCGTTGTATAAAGCGTTGTTTGCGCTTAGGTGATCGTAACTCCCATACCTTAACACAGACTTACGACAGTCGTAGCGCTAAAGTGGTTTTGTACAACGGCACCCAGCGCCCCATGTCTGTCGTTCAAGCTGAGGACGAGGATCGGATGATTGATCTGTGATAGTGTGTCTTAGTACACCATCTTCGTGGTCGTGGATCGCAGCTCTTGTACTGGTTTCAAAAAACTTATATAAAATTAATTCACAAGTCGCCGTGATTTATTATGCAGCAAATAAAATAAAACATTCAATTATTTTTTCACAAAATAGTAGCGATACATGTTATACTTGAGTGAGTGAGTCAGTTTGGTTTTAACGCCGTTTTGAACGGTGTTCCAGTTATATCACGGCGTGTCAGCCAAATGTGGGAGGAAAGCCCGAAGTGGTTTAGGTCTCAGACGTTGACCAGTTCGGCGAAAGCCACGAGCACGGGTATGGTGCTGACAAACCCAAGAAAAATAATCAGGGGGAACAGCGTGCCCCTAGGTATGACTGTAGGTCATGAGAGCACACATGTATGTATAGTGTAGAACAAGCTACAGCGCGGTAGGTCGGGTCTTACACACCAGGTCAATGCTATAGTCATTCAAATACGTATCGGGGGCACGGGTGGCCCAGTCGTCTAGGGCGCCGCGTTTCGCTGTGCAGATTTGCGTCCCTTGGGCTCGCCAGAAACCTATGATTGTGGGTTCGAATCCCGGTTCGCCCCGATTATGTTTCTAGGTTTGTCAGCACCATACCCGTGCTCGTGGGTTTCACCTGAGACCTTCGGGCTTTCCTCCAACATTAAGCTGACACGCCGTGATATAACTGGAATAGTGTGAAAAGCGGCGTTAAACCAAACTCACTCACTCACTCACTCACTCAAATTCTTATTAAGGCCGCATGAAATATGCAAATTCTTATTTGCTTACTAACATGTATTCGGAAATATACGTTTAATACCTCTATACCTCTCATGCAGTAAGTGTTTATCTGCTACAGTAGCTGTTTGTTTAACGCCGCACTTGGCAATAGTCCTGCTGCGTGACTGCGGTCTGTAAAAATCGATTCTGAGACAGAAATAACAGTGACTGATATAATGAGCATCGCGAGAACACAGGTCCCAAACAGTGTTCTATTATTAACCGCTTTCCATCATGTTAGACTCCATTAGTCTTAATTCAGCAACTGTCGCAACGTTAGGTCACACTTCAGGAGTTTAGTATCAATGGCGACGGATAGTACATGGATGGATGACCGAGATGGTCTTACTCCCCAGGAAGCTGAGAATGTGTTTTGAATTCATACTGATGGACACAGTTCATACGCTTTCATCGTGTCCCTCTGTGGACTGAGCCCTTCATGTATTGCCTTGTGTTGAAAGTAGTAGTAGGAGTAGGAGGAGTAGTACCAGTAGTCCCCGAAGGGAGTCCGGGTTAGATCGAGTGAGTATGATTTTACGTCGCTTTTAGCAGTATTCCAGCGGAACACCGGAAAATGGGCTTCACACATCGTACCCATGTGGGGAATCGAACCCGGGTCTTAGGCGTAACGAGCCAACGCTTTAACCACTAGGCTGCCCCTTCGTCCTCGGGGTTAGAATAGGTCCCCGGTAACCTTTGTTAGCCGTAAGAGTTGGCTTGATTATTTACTTTTAATATAATTGTTCATACAGGTTGGTTTTACCAAAGTGTTGAGCGTTTAAAAAATCCTTCACTGAGGGGACCGCCTCCGTAAGCGTGGTCTAGTGGAAGAGCGTCACCCTGTCTGGCGCTCGACATTAAAGGACTAAAGCAAGGATTGGTCGGCTCAGTTTACTGTGTCTGAATAGGGTATTCATTTTAAACTGCGGCATGGCACTATAAATCGGCATCAGTCCGGACTAGTACAAGCACACACACACACACACACACACACACACACACACACACACACACACACACAAGCACACACATACACGCACACACACAAGCGCACACACACACACACGCACACACACACACAGGCCCCGTGATAACACTAAAATAAACTAAACTCTCAAACGTGACATCTGTTAGCAAAAAAAAAAAGGGGGGGGGGGGTTCTTGGCGGTTTGCTTTCACAAGCTGAAGGGGCGGAAATCGGTATTCCACTGGCAACGCCACCCTCAAACAATACCATGACATAACACCACATTTCACCAGCTGAAGTAACGAAAATGTTTTCCATTTATATTTGTGCACTTAACAATATTCTCTTGCATTACATTCTGTTTGTCTGTTTGTTGTTTAACGCCGCACTCAGCAATATTCCAGCTATATGACGGCAGTCTGTAAATAATCAAGTCTGGACCAGACAATCCAGTGATTGATATCATGAACATCGATCCACGCAATTGGGATACGATGACATCATTAACCAAGTCGGTAAATCTGGCCACCCGATCCCGTCACATTCGTGACCAACTCGTGTTATTCCGGGACAAGCCGAACAGCGACTCGTGCCCCTCTCGTGGCCATTTTTGCGACCGGGTTCCGTCTTAGCGCAAACGGGCATAACTAAAACAATTGTCAGTTCGTTGCGTAATGGTTCACATATATTTCCCCATATATTATATATATTTCAGATGCCTTTTAAAGCACATCGGGACGTGCGGAATTATACAATATGATTGAACACATTTAACTGTGTCTTTGGTATATTTTTAGATGCAAGACATATGTAAAATCAAAAATTATTTCTGAGGGATTCTTTGACGAAGTACTTGAAATCATTCGCGCACTCTGATTGGTTTGTCGTATTTTCGCACATAACATTCATCGAGAGGGGGACGAGTCTTCTTGCAGGTTACGGAAAGGGGCGAGTGCTGACGAATGGATCCCGTCAGTCGCCTCTTACAAGCACAGTCGCCTTTTGCGGTAATGGGTTGCTGAAGACCGATCTGAGAACATTCATAGGAAGCGCCAGTAAAATAACAATGTCTGCATATCGCCTGAAACGCTCCATCCAAGGAGAGGGCATGGTTTTCATGTATTTCCGTTTTAAACTCAAGAAATTACTCTGATAGGAACAGAGAGCACTGAATCTGAGAGAGAGTGGATGCTTTATTTGGGGTAATAAACAACACTTCAGCTAAATAATAAGCAATTTGTCAACAGTTTCAGCTTTAGAAAAAACACCAAAGTTGTGTTCATTTTCCAATTTCGTTATGCAAATTTCTCAAATCTGAGGAATGTTTGTAATGGGTGCATCGTAACGGAATTATTGTGGTGCTATGTAATTCCGACTAAAAACGGCATCTTAGCTCAGCCGTAAATTGCTTTATCATCCTGGCGCCTGCTCACTCCCTCGATATAACACGTCATTGTTATAAGGAAGCGTTGGAGGCCAAATGAGCTTGAGTTAAGCCTAACTGTGAATATTCTTTTATATCAATGTGTGTTAACGTGATGAGAGGAAGGACTGTCAAAATGGCGCAGGTTGTTGGCGTTCGAACCAGACGGAGGGGGCACGGGTGGCCCAGTCGTCCAAGGCGCTGCGATTCGCTGTGCAGAGTTGCGTCCCTTGGGCACACCAGAAACCTATGATTGTGGGTGCGAATCCCGGTTCGCCCTGATTATGTTTCTGGGTTTGTCAGCACCATACCCGTGCTCGTGGGTTTCACCGTTGTGGTAAACGTCTGAGACCTGCAACACTTCGGGCTTTCCTCCCACATTAAGCTGAAACGCCGTGATTTAACTGGAATACTGTTAACAGCGGCGTTAAACCCAACTCACTCATTCACTCACTCCAACCAGACGGGCGAATGGTTCTGGCAGAGACCGAGTAACGGAAGCACATCGCACATTACAGCTAAGGGACGCAACTCTGTACAACAGATTCGTGTGTCACATTATCAGTAGTATCTTTGTGGAAAACCCTCGTTATGCTAACATTTGGCAGGAGCTATTAAAAGATTCTCCTTTACTGGAGTACTAGGTCCCATGCTTTATGGGTCAATCCAACGAGCTCTATTAGAATATGTGACTGCTTCGGGCAACGATGAGACAATTTGATTAAAAAATATCTCTGATAGAACATTGAATAATCAACATTAAAAGTATTGCTTTCAAATAACAATTCTTTTGTTTGATCTTCTGCTTTTTTTATTAAATGGGCATAACGTTTTTTTCCGAAACGAACTGGTGTTTGCTTGATGTTTTAATCCATATCGTTAAGCAAAAGATATAAGATATACACATGCTTGATGTTTTAATCCATATCGTTAAGCAAAAGATATGAGATACACACACGCATCATATATATATCGCAAAGGTTGCGTGCACATAACGTCTCAAGGGTCATGGACGTCGCAATTTCACAGTACAGAGTTTATGTATTGCTCAGCGCCAAAAACAGGAAACAAAAAACACCCCAAAGGGTTTTCATTCCGGTTTTTAATTTGTTGTTTACTGAACACAATTTTTGCAAGGCGTACGGACTCTCGGTGTCGGTCTATTACTTTGTTCAGACAGTTTGTTATGGTTGTAATCAATAACAAAATAGAATTTTCCTCAACACTCTTTACAGGGTTAAAAGTGTGGCTGGGCTTTCGGCCCTCAGACACAATTGCGCTCCTTTTGTTCTATAAAAAACGACGAATGTGTTCATGAGTGATATATTCAATAAACATAGTCTTTCTCTGATAGTTGTTTAGATAAATGATGAATTCGTTTTTGCAATAGGTTAAATGTCTTGATCAGCTATGACCAGCAAATCCGGATTTAATCAGCAGACATCCGCTGCCGGTAAGCCTAGGGTAAGGGATCATCGACCCCCATCTCTCTCCCCCATCTCTGCTTATTCCTTCATCAGTCACCCAGACAACGTTCGATTCTCATGATGTATACTTGGAAACCTCCAAATAGTATCATGCTTTATGCAATAATTAAAGATACCTCCCCCCAACCTCCCATGGGAAATGGGAATGTCAGGATGGAATGGATTTCCAAGAACCTATGCTTGTTGTAAGATGCGACGCAATACATAGGGTAGTCGGGCTTGGTGATTTGGTTGATAGCGTGTCGCCCATAGCCCGGCTGCCTGGATCGTTGTTCGCAACATCAATCACTGAATTGTTTGGTCCAGACTCGATTATTTACAAGCCGTTTGGAATATTGCTTGGAGCGGCATTATACAACAAACAAATAATGAGTGACTTACCAAGTACAACCAATTGAGTAATAACATGTCAACCCATAAAGATCTTGGTTAGAATAGGTCTTCAGCAACCAATGTTTGTCGTTAAAGGCGACTATGCTTGTCGTAAGAGGCGACTAACGGGATCGGGTAGTCAGGCTCGCTGACATGGTTGATGTATGTCATCGTATCCCAATTACGTGGATCGATTCTCATGATGTCAATCAATGGATTGTCTGGTCCAGACTCGATTATTTACAGACCGACGTCATATAACGCCGCACTCAGTGATATCGCTATATGACGACCACCGCCTGGATATAATCAGACAAGACAGTGATATTATGGGCAACGACACACGCCGTCACCGAGCTTGACCACCCGACTCCTGGAAGTTACCTCTTACGACCAGCATAGCTAGCTAGGGAGCTTGACCTCCCGGAATGCCCATTAGGCTGTCCTCCCTGTGCGTCTTCATACCCTGGAGTAACCTACTGGGTTGCGGTCAACCGCTGGTTTACCATTCCTAGATTTTGATTATTTGCAGGCTTCCGTGATTGCGAAGCTGTAACATTGCTAACCACGGCATAAAACAACATTCATTCACTCACATTTGTCAAGAAATATTACATTTTTTATATGCAGCTTCTCTGCTGATAACGTTTCGTTCTTCATGTGGTCGACAAATACCACATTCCAAAACAAGAACATGTATCAAAACAATATTAAAAAAACATGGAATGTCTAAGGAGGCAACAATTTGACTTTTGTGGGAGGCGGGAGATTTTGGTCAGAATGTCCTTTCAATGTTGATGAGTTCAATAGTTACTTTCTGCCATTAACAGGTACTCAAACATATCTTTGTAAATGAACTTCTTAAACAAATCAATACAACGGAGACTTGTTTATGTTTTAAGAAACATCTCCCTCCCTCTCAAAATCAAATGGTTGCTTCCTAACCATAGTGCAGTTGCTGCCCAAGGATAATGGAATTGCTTCCTAAGGATAGTGAAGCTGTGCTTTTGAGCAGAAATCTTTCAAATCCATCAGCAAGAACCCGTATTCCTTATGTCTTAACGAGAAATCCTGATCATCGTATATTTGACGCCGGCCAGCATCAATCACGCCAACAATGCTATAAATGTATTTAATTACCTCGAGTGACGACACCAGATACGCAGTTAGTAAAAATATCAATATATTTATTATACTAGACATTCATGTCAATAACAAATTATTACAAAAATGTGGCACTCCTCTCCACATGCCAGTGGTGACAAGTAAATGTCATTTCATTTACTTAACAGATAAAGATAAACAAACATAAATACATAATGAGCGGTGAGAGACAGGTGACACTAATGTGATGCATAATAAGCATTTAAAGCCCAAATTAAGGATGATAATTATTCATCTTGTAGACGTGTTAAAACACATTCAATAACCAACAACACAATTATGGGTTCTACTTTACCAAAACTATGAAAGCAATGTTATCTCTGAATAATAAATTATTGAAAAGCTATTTTTATCGCAAATGCGGAATATCGGTTTTCCGGGTCCATTTTCAATATCAAATTAAAAGTCCAACCCCAGTCCGAGTTTGTATTCCAATTCCAAATGAATAATTTCCATTTCTCCATCCTTAACCCGCTCCTCGATCCTCTACCACATCCTCATTCCCACCCAACACCCAACTCATTCCTCATTTCCCAGTTTCTTAATCTTTAAATAAAATCTCCATAAATCGCTGCCAAATCCAACGTTTCCATTCACATTACGTGATATTCAATTCCAAACATAGAATTTACAGATCGGTGTCATGTCTTTATTCTCACTTCCTCATTTGCAAATCTCAATCCTGAAATAGCGATAGCCACACGACCAAAATACTCGTCCATAAACCACATAACGAACTGCACAAAGTCTACATCAGTCCCGCGGCGTACAGTTAATACGCCCCCATTTGGGAACTCAACACCCAAATCGTTCAATAAACCGTGACATGATATCTCGCAAGAATATCTAGTTTGAAAGAGCTGACATGTAAGAGACGTGTCCCAATTGGTTGTGAGTAACTTCCTCATTATTCCAATCATACAGGTTCCCTATTGCTTCGTTAGCGACAATCGTAAATTGTGGCCATTGTAGCGACAACTTGAAATGGATGGAAGTTGGATTGAGGTTGATAACCAAGCAAATTGTTTAGATTGAACTCTCGTTTCCGCCGGGGCTTCGTGCAAATCTGAACACATTTTCAGAAAGTGAACTCATCACCTATTAATACCAGTAGGTTGTATTCCAAGGTCAAGTCGTACATACAGTCTTTGGGCAAGTAGCAACGACTTTCATATAATTAATTTTTATATATTATTAACATACAACATTATACGTAATGATATTGTACAAAAATACAAAAATCTTGAAAAACTTAATATGCTTGATGATGTCGACCTTTGAGTGCGTACTGATATAGTTTCCGCTTACAAACAATGGGGCAAATAGGCTTGTGTGACATGATGTCAAACGGCAATGTTTGTCTGTTTGTTTGTTGTTTAACGCCAGTCTCTAGTCCAGTTATAAGCCTAAGCTTTTGATGTTTATAAACCGAATGGGTGATATTTCGCAATGATGTTAAATGATAGTGCTGAATGAGAGTATGCATGGTTTTGTTCATTAGTGAAACAAGATTTACATTTAAGCACAACTGATGTCGTTTAGCGTCTTATGTTTAATGTTTCATGGACGTAAATATCAGAATAATGTGAATAATAATGATGATGACAATGATTTGATTTCTTATGTCTAAGAAAAAAAATCCAAAAGCAAATAAAAGTAAATTAACTCGAGAGCTATCGTTTCTATTTGGGTATCAATTTCAGGATGTGGACAAGAAAAAGTGGTTCGGTTGTCTTCGGAAACTCGAGTTCTCACAACAGATAAATCTGTTGTGGGATCAGTTGCTGGCGGGTCGTATTTCCTGGTAAAATCTCTCTTTCGTCGTTTTGTCACATGTGATGTTCTTTGAAAACACATCAGTGTAGATTTACTACTGAAACAAGTGTATTTTACAGTGAGATTGTGTTGAGTGATGCGACTGCAGTTTTGCGCCAGACATCGTTGCACTTTGATTATCTTTGCAGATATGGTATGCACAGAGGAACTGTCTCTGCTCCCCTTAAGTTCTCTGCATCCTTTCTGTCACTGCCGAAATTTGTATTATTAAACACCCCTGTATATATAAACACACCTTTGAAGGTACAGTCGCTGCTCTCCTTAAGTTCTCTGCATTCGTTCTGTCACTGCCGAAATTAGTATTATTAAACACCCCTCTATATATAAACACACCTTTGAAGGTACAGTCGCTGCTCTCCTTAAGTTCTCTGCATTCGTTCTGTCACTGCCGAAATTAGTATTATTAAACACCCCTCTATATATAAACACACCTTTGAAGGTACAGTCGCTGCTCTCCTTAAGTTCTCTGCATCCGTTCTGTCACTGCTGAAATTTGTATTATTAAAAACCCCTGTATATATAAACACACCTTTGAAGGTACTGTCGCTGCTCTCCTTAAGTTCTCTGCATCCTTTCTGTCACTGCCGAAATTTGTATTATTAAACACCCCTCTATATATAAACACACCTTTGAAGGTACAGTCGCTGCTCTCCTTAAGTTCTCTGCATCCTTTCTGTCACTGCCGAAATTTGTATTATTAAACACCCCTCTATATATAAACACACCTCTGAAGGTATTCGTGTAATAGTTATGTGACGTTATCATTTCATGGACATTGACAAGGATATTTGTATATAGGAGGTATGGAGTATGTGTGAAGTGACAGTTGCAAAGTCAAAGTCATACGAGATTAATAATTATTGTTTTCATTGAAATACCGAACGATACATACGTATGCTAGTGCTGCCCGTGCATGTGTGTGTGCGAGCGTGGGAGAGTGTTTCATCGTGTAAGGTGTACCATTTTATTAATTGCAGTCGTATATCGGATATTTTGTTTAAGGCTTGCAATGATTAGCTTTGCTTATTTCTTAGCTTATGAATGTGTTTTCAAAACCGTAGGGTGGTCGGTCGATCGCGAAATGAAAAAAGAATGCCTCACAAATATATTTTAAAAACTGATCTCTTATATATGTGGTCGACAATAATGTGAATTTATGGGAAAAAAATCTTATATTGGAAACACTTGGAGTGTTGCAGTTTCGATAGTCATTTCTCCCTAGAATTCTACCTTGAAATGTCTTTTTACAGATACTGTTGTGAAAGAAGGATTACTCTTAAAATAATAACTTTCTTCCACATTTGGGTCATTTCGGACGGAAGGTCCTCCAAGCAAGTAATAAAACACCCGCTTTCGTAAAAAAAACATGGTACTGATGCTATGATATGGTATGTTACAAATAAAAACACATTATTACTAAACAATACCCAAGAATGGATCATTCTGTTTTGATCATAAATGCTTCGTTGTGTCCACTTCCTTTTACATGACGTCCATTTCGACCTCCCAGTCTTTCTTTGAGTCTAGTGATACATCGTGAGCCACATTGGCTGGGTCAGCATCTCATTCACTCAGACATCACTGTTCTTTAGCACACTTTGGTTAAAAGACGAGCCCGTCTCGTACACAGTCGGAAGAAATCGAGGTAGAACGAATGTGATTTCTATTGAGTTGTTTTCTGCTGGTTGCTCTTCATAGTTCTATAAAATAGTGAATTTCCGTTACAGTGATTAGTTTACGCCACCTGGCCTCAATGAATTAAGAATTATACATATTTAACCCCTATGATTTCTTTTTACAATAAAATTGACATTTGGATATGACTACTCAAAATGCCGAAATTTGGGTAGTGACTACTGACATTGTGCAACGCCATGATCATTACTGACGGTGTAATATTATTTTTATCATCATTTTCCCCGCCCACCATCTGAAGCCATATGGAATAAAATATATGATAATATGCCCCATCATTATCTCCTCAGTCACACATGCGCAATGATACACCCTTCAACTGGTGCATCCAGACACACCCAGTGAATCCCCACCCTCAAAGCTGGGTATTCTCCATCTCCTCCACAGGTAATATTTCTCCTAACAGTCTGGAAGATCCATTCGGAAAATGTACTTGGGTAAACGACGTGTCTCGCACCGCTTGGTGTCTGTATCTTCCATGAATGTGATGCTGCTTCGCTTTCAACCCCATTGTGGGCAACAACGCGCTGTCTGACATTGCACCACATTCGTCAGGCCCGACACATTTCTGAAATAAAAACATGAAATTTGAATGCACCGATTCGCACAATCTGAACTCGAGAATGAATGATGTAAAAACTAGCCCAATTCTAATATTGCCATTTCCCATTTCCAAATCCTGTTTCCTCGTGCTAAAATGTATTTCCGCGATCAAGTGCATCTTGTTAATGTTTCTAAGAAAAGCGCGCTCGGTGACCTGGCAAACCCTTAGCTCTTAAAGTGATTGTTGATTATTCTAGTGAAAAATCTTTACTCTTGTAATTAACATTAATGGTTTCTATTCATCCATCTTACGCAAGACAGGTTCATGTTCCCGCCTGGACACTTGTTTTACTTGAGATGGTATTGCGAGAGTTTGACTTTTTAATGTGTCGGTACATGGTCTCTGGGGTGGCTTTCGGATTGGCTGGAATTCAAAAAGGCAAAAATCTTACGTCTTGGCTGTGGATTTTGTATGAGTTTTCCTCTTGGCGATATCTGGAAAGATAAAATGTGGCATGTTTCAGTTCCTCTGGAAAGATAAAATGTGGCATGTTTCAGTTCCTCGTATCATTATTCTATCCATCATTGAAAGCGGGGAAGGAATGTGGTTTGCTTAATGCTGAACGCCCTTATGGTTCATCTCTTAAAAATGAGAACTAAGTATAACGAAACGAATTATATACGATGGGTTTTTTCAAAACACCCATAGTAAAATCTGTTGATTTAAACATACTTCAGAAATATACTAAAGTAACTGAAAATTGATAAAATAAAGACTGTGCCTCAGTAATCGCTTGTGTATGACGTTAGGTGGAACTGAATATATACTGCCTTCTTTTACTATTACCCACACATGCTGATTTAACTGTCCCTTGCACGCTCGCTTGTTTGTAACTGTAACGAGGGCACCGAACTACTCTATGCACATTGCCATGTCACTGCAGTCCCCATTGGACCCTGGTCACTTTGATGTCACTGAGTGAACTGCTCCACAATATCATTGAAATCAGATCTTTTATTCCAGTACGAATCCACTCTGCGTTACGGTCTGAGGACATCGCCGTTGGAGGTCGCGTCACGTGAACATTCCAATCAACCAATCATCGCCGAGGCTTCTAAATTCTCGGTAGGAGTGAACGGAGCATGCATACAACAATTCTGTATGTTTAAAACGAACTAAAACGACAAGTTTCGAAAGAAGAAAGTAGAGCGACGCCATTATTTTTTTGTGGGTGCTTCATGCCAGCTGTGCGCCGTTGCATCTACACCCAACAGGGAGTCCAATAGAAAGAATACTTGTGTTCTGTCTACGTTTTCATTTTTGTGAAAATCGAAACTTCCAAATTAAAGTTGTAAAAACGATTTTAGCTGAATCGTAAGTTTAGAAAGCTGGCAGCTGATTGGCTCAAGAACCCTTCCAAACATATTTTTGATTGGTCTGTGAAAGTTCGTTCAGGTTTCCTCTGACTCGACCTTTTGTTGAGGTGTCCCAAGATTTCACACAGAGAGGTTTCTGATTATAAAAGATCTGATATTAATCAGCTTCAACGGCTGTAAATCGCAAACTTGGATAGGGGAACTTTGATGAACTGCATCTATGTCCTTTTGTTATGTATTGTTTTGTTATATTTTGTTTGTTTAGCACCATACGTTTAACGTTCGGAAATATTCCATCTGTATGATTGCGGCCTGCAAATAACCGAACATGGACCGGTGAGCAACGATCATATTGAGACTTTATCAGCCATATCACCGAGCCTGACCACTCGTTCCCTTAGGTCGCCGCTTACCACAGGCATAGACTGCTGAGGACCAATTCTAACCCGGTAACGTATAGACGTTAACGTTGTTTAATGTGTCAACAATCAACATGTTTGTCGCACCTCCTCACTACAACCGACATCGTTGTTACTGTTCATGAAGTTTTGGACGATTCAACAAACGAATCCAATTCGTCCGGCTTTGAGAGGGTGTTACATCATGAGGGTTCACTTGTCCTTACATCTACAATACTTGGATCTTATATGTCATTGGCGTTTAGCTGCATTCCCACGCACAATGCTACAGTTGTCTACAAGAGGGAAAAAATATACTCCATACTTCGACATTTTGCCGATCTCTGCAATTCAAGATCCTCACAGCAAACACTGCGTCGCGTAATGTACATTAACACTGACGTAAGATGCGATGCAAAGAGCCTAAACATAGAATCGTTGTTGAATAGAGCTCACCTGTAGCAATATGGCGACAAACACTTCGCGTCTCATATTTTTTTATTTTTTGTGTGGAAAGATACTTTCGTTGTAGGCTTACCTATGCCTTGGATATGCCTTGACGTACCCACCGTGTGCACGTGACCTTATACATAGCGGTAACTTCAACCCTTATTACCCTCTTGATGAGCCTAGAACTAGAGCCTAGAATGTGTATAGATGTATTGAAATTGTTCAGGTACAACACTCACTCTTCATTTGGGACATTTCGAGTGCTTGAACACGGTGTAGAATCGAAAACATTGGGTTTAAGCCGATCTGGCAGTGTCCAAGTTATATCATGGCGAGTCGGAGTAATTTTAGAATGACTAAAGTGTTGCAGGTTGTTTACGTTGTCTACTCCAGTGAAACCTACGAGCACGAGTGCTGACAGAACAACGGTCATATTCGCGGCCCACGACAAACGGATCAGGATAGCTAAAGGATGACTTGTACCGTAACTTACGACATCCTGTACCACTGACCTACCAGATTTTTGTTATTTATCAAAAAGGACAAGGTCAGGTTTGTTGGTTTGGATTTGTCTAAGGCTGCATATGGGACTATTCCAAAGAATTTTAAAATTATCATTTCCATGACATCCTCTACATATTCTGGGTCATACCATGGGTGGACCTCTGAGTGAAAACAACAAGCATGACGAAGTCGCGGTAATAAAACCGTTTACACACAGCCCATATAGCGAATGGGACTTTACCCAGAAAGCGCTGCCTCGTCGAACTCACCAAGAACTTTTCGAAGAATGTGAAGACTCCCTAACACTGCAGCCTTCTGCATTACCCAGGGTGCTAGAAGGGCTGTGTCCCTGGCAGCTATCCCGGATACTCTCCCCATGTTAGTCAACAGATTAGGAGGAACTACCCTAAGGCACCGAGAACAATCTGGAGTCGGGCAACTTGGTATTTGGGATGCAAGCTTGACATTTCGTAAACGAGGTCCGCGTATTTGCCATGTTCTTCCTGATACATTAGTGTCAAAAGGGACACGGAATTCAGTAATATAAATTATTTCTTTGGATTTATCAAAAAGGACAAGATCAGGTAGGTTGTCCTGGATACGCCTGAAGCTGTACACGGGCCTATTGCAAAGAATTTTAAATTTATCATATTCCTTGAAGTTGTGCAATTACTTCTTTATATATTGCACAAAGTCAAAATGTGTTTGTGACCGTGATCGTATTCGTAATTACAGCGTCTGGTGCCGTATTCCTAAAATCGATTGTTCACTATTTCTAGATGTTCTGAGATTTCTTTTGGTCATATTGCTTTCTAATAGTCAAATGCTAATGTTTCATCTATAGCTACTGGATGAGATTTAACACTTTCGTAGTAGTTCACCTAATCCTTCAACACAGGATTTTTTCACGTAACAGACAAAGCTTATATGCAGAGCGATTGTGAATAACTGTACAGCACAAATGACAGCGTCCACATTCTCACACTATAAAACACAATGACACCCACATCACAATACCCACATCCCGTTCGGGTTAGAATTGAAAAAAGACCGAGTGGTCATCGTACCCCGATGGTGTGAACCATTGCTATTATAGTCAACCATCGCTTCGCCTGGCGCTTATTCAAATAGTCATTGGTCGTCGATACACAGTTGGATTATTGCATATTGCAGCGTTAAAGAACAAAGAAACAGACATGATTTTCGGCCGAACTGTCACGCTTGATTAGTGTGTCAAAGAACATTCACTCAACCCAACCATAAACTGCATCCCGTAGGCCATGAGACTCTCTTGCTTGTCAGAAGAGCCGGTGTAAAAAAAAAAATTCTTTTTGTTTGTTTGTTGTTTAACGCCGCACTCAGCAATTTTCGAGCCATATGTCGGCGGTCTGTAAGTAATCGAGTCCGGACCAGACAATCCAGTGATTGACAACATGAGCATCGATCCACGCAACTGGGATCCATGACATGCATCAACCAAGTCAGCGAGCCTGACCACCCAATCCCGTTAGTCGCTCTTACGACAAGCATAGTCGCCTTTTACGGCCAGCATGGGTTACTGAAGACCATTTCTACCTCGGCCACCGGTGTAAAGGAAGGAGTGGTCAGGTTCGGTGATTGTGTGTTGTCGTAGTCATCGGCGCCGTTGCTCATGCTGTCAACCACATGTGTGTTTGGCCCAGATTATTTACACCTGGAATTATATTGACCTCGGCTTCAAAATGACTCATAGAATATTACAGCTTTTCGGTGAGACCGCTTTACCACTAACTAAACAGAAAGAAACTAAAACCCTATTTCTGTCGCAGCACGCCGGGCTACTCTTCTTTCTGATCTAAGACAAAGGAGCCTCTGAAGTTCTCAATCCCTTAACATCACAGAGTCATAAATGAGTTCTTCGGGGCGTCCCTACACAGGATAACACGTCAACATCACACAAATATAAACTAGCCTATTAGCTATACCTGAAGCTGTTGAAAGTAAAGGGCCAAACACCAAGGGGTCCGACATCGAAGTCATATGACTAAGCATGCGAGCCTTGCCTGCTGTATGGACTGGCTTTCTGGACGACGCTCAACGTGTGTCGTGTTCAGCGCCCTGCAGGACCTGACGCGTGATTAGACTGATAACCCCTTGAATGTTTCATGATCCTTCCCCATCATATTACACACTGCGGTAGACACGTTATTTCAGAATAGTAATTAGATCAAATAAAGGCCGCGGTTGCGATGTAGACTTTGTAGAACCATTCAAACCTGCTCATTACTTGAACGCTAAATAACGGCATACATTGATTGATGTTAGGTGTTCAAGGCGTAATACAATGGGAGAAATGGTTATGCTTTTAAAAACTGATGAATTATTTACACAAACTCTGCTATGGGCTATTTTGAGTTATTGTAGGTTGATGTAAGGCCACTTATCTTCATTAAAGCATTCATCCTTGCTACAGCAAACAAACTTCATTTTCGTCGTTTTGCAAAGCGGATGAGCATTCAAGGCAAGGCATATAGAACTATAAAGTTAACCGTGGGTCATTTCTATCCATTTGTAAGAAAAAATTCATCATCTTAAAGTTTTATTTGGACCGGGAGGTGATAAAAAAATGGAAAGTCTTGGCGTAGTTTGGGTGCTTATAAATATTATTAATCAAAAATCTGGCAGCTGCCTTTCATTACCAGTTTCATTGTCAAAGCGATTTTTACCGTCGGCGGAAAAAAACAGACCTTGTCAATCAGATTTCTTTTTCCTCTCTCTGAAATTTCGATTTTGAACGTCGGCGAATCCGTAAACCAAGAAAATCAAACTAAGGCCTCAACAGTCTCCTGTTTCTCAGGAATGGTTCATATCGCTCATTTGCAAAACGAGCCTTGAAACACACCTTCATTAAGAATCACAGTCCGGCATGAAATTTTAATGTTTCTTTTTGTCTTGTGAGGATGTGCTCAGGTTAACAGCGACAGACAATTACTTCATTTCTTGTCAATTATCATTGGTGTCCAAACCCAGACAGGCAGACAAGTAAGCTACAGCCGACCCACCACCTCAGGTAAAATTGCGTAGGATGTTCAATCATGATTTATTAATAATTAAGGAACCTATATCAACGATTAGCTTCGTGGTACTTTGAACGTCGGTAAATGGGGAATGGTTTCTCTACTGAAGATAAATTGGGTCCTTATCTTTATGCGGTTGGTTCGACCTCTGGATCAGTCTGGGAAAACGTTTTAAAAAGTTTTGAATTGAGGACTGTCAAAAGTTTTAGATTAGTTAGACTATGCTCTTTCAAGCACTAATTATGTGTCTGCCAAAGCCCTCTTGGGGGTTTTAGTGACACTCAAGTGTCTTTTATACATCACTCTGTCTGGGACCGAAATGGGCATGCGCGTTTATTTTGATGAAAAATAACACGAGGGAAAGGCACTTTGACAGACATTGAAAAACTTACTTTTGACACGTGTCTTGTGGCATTTCATCTTGAAGTTTGGGGACATTAGATATATCGTGGCATTTGGATGAAATTAGTATGGGTGTTCCAAACATACGTGGACCGGAAACTTTGGCTCCTCCTTGATAATACAATGTCTCAAACACAAATCTCACATATAAGCATATCACAATAAAAACTTAATGACAAGCTAGTGATGAGGTTAGGAAGTCGCGGAAATTGGACGCTGCCATTTCCAGGGGTGAAGGTCATTGTCATGTATATATTTATCTGTAAATCCCCTAAGCCGTGTCTTGGAAATAATTCATCAGTGTTATGTCTTTAAGAATCACTGAAAGTTGAAAAGCCTGTCTGATTTTCAATATATTATTAAAACGGAATGTACGCAATAGCTCTTGATGAAACTTTTAAATAGAATCTCTGGAACAAATATAATGTATTACATTATGACCCAGTGGTCAAAGGCGTCGCTATTCGCCGTACGGACTTGCGTGTTTTTCTCCAACGCTAAGCTGACACGCCATGAAGAAATCCTGATTGGTCAGTTGATGCGATTTTACGTAAGAAATACGGTGTCTATTGCTCATGACGTCAGAAATTGATAAAATTTCGTCATCTAAGCAATAGGTTGACGTCAGTGATGTTTTTGTGTAGGGATAACATTTACTAAGATTTTCTTAACTTTCATTCTTAAAATGACACTGAGTAATGTATTGAATAACCCACTATAAACGAAATTGCAGATTATGTCACTCGTAAATGAACATATTAAGTAAAACTCGGAGCTTGCGCCATTGATTCACTCGGGAGAGATAATCCATAAGTCCTCGTTCAATGTGTCTGTCAAATTTCTCTAAACCTGTTAAAAGGCGTTATCCCACACCGATAATCTCATTCAGAATGTGTTGTTTACAAGTATTAGATTTCGTTTATCTCGGGGGACCGAGGCTGGTCTGAGATATAGCTACATGTATGCATGCCGGACAGTGTGAACGTTACATAATCTAAAGGAGAGGTGCCGCAAGCTATTAAGCTTACTAAATTTATATCATTTACAAACTGTGTACGCAAGAGTACAAACGATAAGTGTACAAGTTGGGTTTCAGATATACTTCGCTTTAAACGCCATTCTTAGAGATGTGACATCGTGAAGTCACAGTCACAGTGTAACTGATGTCATGTGACGGAACAAATTGAGTTATTTGTACAAACCCATGTATTCACTGCTGTCGCTATAACATTGCTATTTTAACTCATCAACAAGACTTGGATTGACGTTGAATTACAAATGTAACAAAGTGTAAAAATTTGAAAGGACGAGATAGGATAATGGACATTTTAAGCCCAGTGGAAATGTCAAATATGGACATTACTGATACTGATATTGATACTTTGCTATACAATTAGTGTTGTTATAAGTCAGTACATGCAAGAACTGAAATGAACTAAGTACTCCGTTGAATACATCTGATAACTTTCATAACGATTTCTAAAAGTTTTCTTCATTTATTGAATTATGCAGATCATATGGCCCAAAACGGCCCTAACCATGCCTTGTCCTTTACCAGTGTTATTGTTAACAAAGCACGCTATTTTGGTTAGTTCAGTGTCTAGGTCAGGATTGTCCTTCTGTCGATTAGAAGCAAGGGCACAATTCTAATCAAACTTAATGACCCGATAGACACACACCTGATGACTACGCTTGGACAGTGTCCTGTTTCATCATCGCGATGAACCTGGTCATAAAGGTCAGAAGGATCGATTTAATCCCGTTAACCCCCCACTAGTAACGACTATTGATAATGAGGTTTGAACATAAAAGAAATAAACTTTAAATGTTACTTTACCTTTTCACTGTGCAGAAAGCTATGAGTCCAAGTATTCCGATTAAAACAAACGCCCCACCAATCAAGAGGATGATGCACAAGACGCCACACGTCCAGCTGTCCGGCACTCGTACGCCTCTCACACTGATGATTTTGATATGGGTGTTATTAGCGTCAGACATATTAAAAAATATTCCATTATATTTAACAAAAGTATCGGAGGAGTTCTTTCCCTTCTTGTTTGAACGATTAGAGTTACCTCCCCTTGGTATCAATATTAGCCCTGATTCCGTATCATTTTCACTAAAATGTTTCTCCTTGGTCTCATCACAGTAAGTTCTACACGTATTGTAGCAGTAGTTGTTATATAAGTCAAACAGACTTTCACACTGGGTGGCGTTTTCCTCCATACAGCGTTCTATGACGTCAAGTGTTGTGTTACATGGAATGTAGGAATCATAATGCTGAAGGCATCGCTTTAGAATAGATGTACTCTCCTCACAACTAATCGTCTTTCTGGAGAAATAGTTGCACGCCAGAGTAAAGTTCCAGATAGGAGGGCAGGGCGCGGTGTAGAGGAATTCCGCCATATTGGATTTTCTTCTGTCGTCATTTGACGTTGAGTTGACGTCGTCTGGCGTATCGACGTCTTCGTCGGAAAACTGAAAGTAAAGGACAACTGTTATCAGTTTGCATAAGATTAATAATGCATTCTATAAGTGTTTTACTAACACCCCGACTAAACAATATATCATGTATTTTTGTTCAGGGGAAGAATAGTACCTCATATCAACCATATAGAAAGTCAACATGAGGTTCGGATGGTTATGGCGTGTGATCCGGCTGGTTATTTCTCATCGTGCCTAAATGGGCTGCATCATCGTTCACGTTATCAACCACTTGTTTGCAAAGCATAGACCGATATTAACATCCGTCTACTTTGTAGGGGATCTGATTACTTTTGACTGACTGATTAAAAGCAGAGCAGGTATCCTCAGGTCATTGGTTCGAATCCAAATTTTGCCGGATTATGATCCTTGGCCTGTCAACGCCATGTCTGTGCTCATGGGTTTTATCATTGTGGTGAACGACTAGGGCCCAGGCCTTTGGGGTTTCTCCCACATAACACTGATAGACATTAATATATGTTGGATATTTAAAAATGAACAGTACACACACACTAATTTTTAGAACTTACACATTTGTGATTTAATCATTATGAGATCAATATGAAGAAAAATACGAATATGTTAAACTCGAACAACTGTTCGCCGCGAAAGTACACTCGTTCCAAACTTAACCGCAAGATTCTAGTCATAAACCCTACTCTGTTACTTTTGTTTAGACTTCGACGAACAAGTTGATTGTAACGGGGATCCGATGCTCACAATGGTCGTCGAGCATATACTGGAATAGGTGACCACCAGGAAAGACCAATAGCTAGTACTGACTTCACAAAGTGTGTTTCCCCGGAAATATACAACAATGGCGTGAAACGCTGCTCCCAATATCGACCACTTGTTTGTATCGCCTAGACACGATTATTTGATATTCTGGAGAGCAGGGGCGGTTCAACAACTTGAAAAAAGAATTATATCAAATATATTATCTTCGGTCTCTTACCTACCGCCGCTATAAAAAGTAATATTACTGTGTTAAACACAGTAACGCTGTCTTGATGTCTGATATTGAACTAATTTTCTTGAAAGGTATCCTCGTTTAGTAGTCTTCACGTTGAGCAATGAAATACTTAGTATGTATTTTACATTCTTACTGTTAGTGCCCGAGGCGCATGTACGCTGTTCATTCCACAGGCGATAAACAGTATTCTGTTAATGGACTTAAGACAAGTGAAAGACATTAAATCCCATCAAACAAACACAAAGGCAATCTACTTTGTTAAGACTATGGATTACACAGATAAAACGTGACAAGTATGGCACCAGCTCTGCGGGAGGCACATTGAACGTTCCTCGCCAACAGAACTGAAGAATGTACGCGTGAATCAATGATAATTCAGACCTATCAACTGTCCGTGTGCACATGTAACACAGCTCTATCAAATGTCCGTGTGCTCATGTAACACGTGCTATATCAACTGTCCGTGTGCACATGTAACACAGCTCTATCAAATGTCCGTGTGCTCATGTAACACGTGCTATATCAACTGTCCGTGTGCACATGTAACACAGCTCTATCAAATGTCCGTGTGCACCTGTAACACGTGCTATATCAACTGTCCGTGTGCACATGTAACACAGCTCTATCAACTGTCCGTGTGCACATGTAACACAGCTCAAGCAACTGTCCGTGTGCACATGTAACACAGCTCTATCAACTGTCCGTGTGCACATGTAACACAGCTCTATCAAATGTCCGTGTGCACCTGTAACACGTGCTATATCAACTGTCCGTGTGCACATGTAACACAGCTCTATCAAATGTCCGTGTGCACCTGTAACACGTGCTATATCAACTGTCCGTGTGCACATGTAACACAGCTCTATCAAATGTCCGTGTGCACCTGTAACACGTGCTATATCAACTGTCCGTGTGCACATGTAACACAGCTCTATCAACTGTCCGTTTGCACATGTAACACAGCTCTGTCAACTGTCCGTGTGCACATGTAACACAGCTCTAGCAACTGTCCGCGTGCACATGTAACATAGCTCTATCAACTGTCCGTGTGCACATGTAACACAGCTCTGTCAACTCTCCGTGTGCACATGTAACACGTGCTATATCAACTGTCCGTGTGCACATGTAACACTGCTCTATCAACTGTTCGTGTGCACATGTAACACAGCTCTATCAACTGTCCATGTGCACATGTAACACAGCTCTATCAACTGTCCGTTTGCACATGTAACACAGCTCTATCAACTGTCCATGTGCACATGTAACACAGCTCTATCAAATGTCCGTGTGCTCATGTAACACGTGCTATATCAACTGTCCGTGTGCACATGTAACACAGCTCTATCAAATGTCCGTGTGCTCATGTAACACGTGCTATATCAACTGTCCGTGTGCACATGTAACACAGCTCTATCAAATGTCCGTGTGCACCTGTAACACGTGCTATATCAACTGTCCGTGTGCACATGTAACACAGCTCTATCAACTGTCCGTGTGCACATGTAACACAGCTCTATCAAATGTCCGTGTGCACCTGTAACACGTGCTATATCAACTGTCCGTGTGCACATGTAACACAGCTCTATCAAATGTCCGTGTGCACCTGTAACACGTGCTATATCAACTGTCCGTGTGCACATGTAACACAGCTCTATCAAATGTCCGTGTGCACCTGTAACACAGCTCTATCAACTGTCCGTGTGCACATGTAACACAGCTCTATCAACTGTCCATGTGCACATGTAACACGTGCTATATCAACTGTCCGTGTGCACATGTAACACAGCTCTATCAACTGTCCGTGTGCACATGTAACACAGCTCTATCAAATGTCCGTGTGCACATGTAACACAGCTCTATCAACTGTCCGTGTGCACATGTAACACAGCTCTATCAAATGTCCGTGTGCACCTGTAACACGTGTTATATCAACTGTCCGTGTGCACATGTAACACAGCTCTGTCATCTGTCCATGTGCACATGTAACACAGCTCTGTCAACTGTCCATGTGCACATGTAACACAGCTCTATCAACTATCCGTGTGCACATGTAACACAGCTCTCTCAACTGTCCTTATACACATGTAACACAGGTCTATCAACTGTCCGTGTGCACATGTAACACTGCTCTCTCAACTGTCCGTGTGCACATGTAACACAGCTCTATCAACTGTCCGTGTGCACATGTAACACAGCTCTGTCAACTGTCCGTTTGCACATGTAACACAGCACTATCAACTGTCCTAGCGCACATGTAACACAGCAATATCGACTGTCCGTGTGCACATGTAACACAGCTCTATCAACTGTCCGTGTGCACATGTAACACAGCTCTATCAACTGTCCGTGTGCACATGTAACACAGCTCTATCAACTGTCCGTGTGCACATGTTACACGTGCTATATCATTGTTACGATTATTTCTATGCCTGAACATTGCTTGTGGATATTACATGTGTTCTTAGTATGTGTGGTACATAAATGTATACATGTACATTTGTCCAAGACAAAGGACACAATGCAAGTGTCTTACATCAAATAGTCATGTCTATAAGAATATTAAATGACAGCGTTATTATAGCAGGAATATTTTACAAACTGATGTTTACATGCATTTATCAAACGTTACATGTACCTGCAACACATTCACAGTGCAGCATCATGGTATACATTGTACATTTATGGAGACTATTGCCATGACCCGCCACGCGTTGACGACGTGATAGTCCGATAAAACTCCTAATTGGTGCCATAAAGCAATATAATAGTTTTCGCAGATATCCGCGGATTATTCGAGAAGTATTTGCAACTTATCCGCAGGAATATCCGCGGATTATTCGAATTTTTATTGCAGAACACGATAACAAACTTTTGCGTTGTAGTGTAAGGAGAATAGACTCCCCAGCAAGCATGGTTCCCGGCATCCTACTGCTGGTTGTGAGAGGTGACATAATTACATTGGGTGGTCAGGCTGTGTGACTGATTGCGGAACTGTACCCCGATGGCTAGGGTCATTGCTCATTCTTTCCATCACTGGTTTGTCTGAACCAGATTCAATTATTCACAAGTCGCCGTGATATAGCAGGAAGACTGTTGACTGTGGCGTTACCGTAAATGAGTGTGTATCGGAGTTGTATCCATTTTCGTATTGTTTGATAAACAAAATGTAATCAATGTGATGCAGTATCAATCCACGAATATCAGTATTTGATAGTCACGTAAGTGTTTAAGATTCTGAGGAAGAAACCCTTATGGATCAGACAGTTATGGATCATCTGTCCCTCGCTTCCCAAGGGGATTACAGAATGAAGTTGATCGTGGCAGATAATCATTTTACAATGTTAGGGTAATAAACGTTATTTTACAATGTGAGGATAGTGTACGTCAATAAATGTCTGTTCAAAAAGGTCCATTTCAGCTAGAATTCCATCAAGTTTTGTCTCTTAAATAATCCTGTAATGTTCTGCACGTCCAACCGGGCTCAACCGTAATTTCCGACCACAATGAATTAAGGGCTGGTCACGTGACCTATTTTGGAAACAAACCACGTGTAATAGATATGTGAAAACCCTTGGAAATGTGCATTCGACAGTATCGTTGAAATAAATCAAAACCAAACTAATGACTTTATAGCCAATTTAAGTTATGAAAACATCAAAATATTCGGTGATTTCTAACAGTTCATAAGTAAGCCTTATATACAAGACCAATGTCGAAATCCTCTGTTGGTATTGTATCTGTGGCAAGAGCAGACCCTGAGCCGTAATATCATACAGATAGTGGGGGTGGGATAGGGTGTGTGGGGGGCGGGGGTTCATTTAATCTGACCGATGAGCGTTTCCCAAAGTTCCAAATACCTTTTTGAGATCCCTTGGGTATTGCCTCTGTGGCTGCATACTTGCAATTGAACGGCATAATTTGACCTTTTTCAAGGGATTCATCTGGGTTCTTCCGATACGACCCTACTTCCAAAAATATTTTGTTATCCCAGTCTGTCCTGAGGATATACGGATCTTGTTGG